GGTGAGGGGGGAGGGACAGGCATCCACAGCTTCAGGTGGACACAGGAGGACCGAAGGCCCGCCCCAGCTTTTCCCATCACTCACCTGCTGGCCCTGCATGCCCAGGGGCTCCACGCTCACCAGGGGCACCTTTCTCTCCTTTGGGACCTGGGGGGCCTCTTGTCCCTGTGGAGCCCTGCACGCCTGGGGCACCCACTTCTCCTGAGGAAGGAACAGATTGGGACAAAGGCTGCTGAGAGTGTGTGCAGGTTGGATCATTTCCTCGGCTGTACGTGGAGGAGAACTGGGAGGCTGTGCACCCCATTGTCTGGTCCTCCAGATGTGGGAATGTGGTGGGCAGGGGCCACACCAGGGCCTGCCAGTGGTGATGCCTGGCTTCCCTGGCACACTGAGCATCCTTAGGTCATATCATGGATTGCCATGGTCACTCCTCCGTCTCCCTTCCGGACCTCCACACACCAACCTCCTACCTTTGGGGCCCAGGCGCTCCTTTGGGCCTGGTTCACCTTGTGGTCCCACATTCCCCTGCGTTCCTGAGGGACCCTCTGGTCCAGCCGGCCCAGGCACACCTGGAGGTCCCGGAGGTCCTAGGAAAACGACCAGCCAGTCAGTGCACGGTGTCTTCTCGGAAGGGGGAGAGTGTGAGAAGGTGTGAGAGCAGTCATAGAGGTCAGAGAACAGCACCATCCTACAGACACTGCCCAGCAGTATTACCGCCTTCCCTGTGTGAACCCAGCACCACCCGCAGGGCACCCTCCTTCCTGGGATGGGTATGTGCATCCTCCTGCAGGGCCTAGTGGCAGGCATTGCAGTCCACGCCCACTGCTCACCAGGTGGCCCCGAGTCTCCCTTTGGTCCAGGTTCTCCAGCAGGACCGTTGTCCCCTTTGGGCCCAACTGGGCCAGCAGGTCCAGGCATCCCCATGGGCCCTCTAGCTCCTGGTGAACCTGCAGCAACAGAAGAAATGGGCATAAACCTGGCCCTGGGCCTAGGAGGAACAGCACCTGCAGGTCAGCCCCTGCATTCCTTCAGGTTCCGCAGGTGTAGACATTCCACACTCCACACTCCTCTGCCCAGTGGTGACCCAGGAGACGGGTGTGCACATCCCCGTTTCACAGGTGAGGCAACAGGGCTGCCAGAACTGGAGGGGTGGTTAAGCCAAGAACTGTCTTATGTCCATGCAATGCACCCTCCCTGCCCCGAGACTGAGGATTTACAGCAGGGGATCTGCCAGCTTTTACCCTGGATCATGGACTCCTTGCTTTCCCCTTCCTAGGACCAAACTTTATATCAGAAATGCTCCCTGACATGAGTCACCAGGGAAATGCAAATCAAACCCACGAGATATCATCTCTCCCCTCCTAGAATGGCGACTATAAAAACACAAAAGCTCACAAGTGTTGGTGAGGATGTGGAGAAGATCCCCTATGCACTGTGGTGGGATTGTAAATTGGTGCAGCCACCATGGAGACCAATATGGAGTTTCCTTAAGACATCAAAAAGATAATTAAAAAAATATATATCATCCAGCATAACCACATCTGGGTTTTATCCAAAAGAAATAAAATACTAGTTTGAAAAGGTATTTGTACCCTCATGTTCATTGCAACATTTTTTTACAGTAGTCAAGAGGTGGAAACAATCTAATACTGTCCATAATGGATGAATGGGTAAAAATGTCACACACACACACACTGGAATATTATTCAGCCACAAAAAAATCCTACCATTTGCCACAATATGAATAGATCTTGAAGGAATTATGCTAGTGCCATAAGTCATAAAAATTAAGCCAGATACAGTATGATCTCACTTATATCTGGATTCTAAGAAACAAAACAAAGAACCTGAACTCATAAATGCAGAGGTCAGATTTTTGGTGGTTGCATAAGATGGGAGCTGGGTGGTAGGCAAAAAGGTTGAAGGTCAAAAGCTACAAAAGTCCAGTTATAAAATAAATAAGACCTAGGCAATGTACAAAATGGTGACTATATTTAATACTACTATCTATGTATATAAAAGGCTAATATGTTAAGTATCCGACCCTCCGTACAGCCGCTATAAAGCCCAATGAACGCCAGGCAGCAGGCCCTCAACGCAGGGGCTTATGAACTGCAGTGACTTAGCAGCGGTGGCTCTAGGGTGACGCACCCCAAACCAGAAAGGAGGAAGCTCGATTCCTCTAGCGGCCATGCAATTCCACCTTTGGCCATGGGTTATGTTGTTGCTGGGGCACTGTTGACCCTGAATCTAGTTTACTGCACACTTGTGTTTGCGTTCCACACCCTGTATGACAGCAACTTTGCATCGTGCGCTCTTGCACTCTGGGACCCCTTGAGTGATGTTGGAAAGCCAGTTTTGGCCCAATCCCCGCAGGCCAGGCCAAAGGACCCCACCTGGCAGAGGGACCCCACTGTGGCACCCTCCCAGGTGCAGCCGGCCAGGGAGGGACCTCGGGAAGTTGGCTCCCGGGCATGTCCAGCTTGTCTCACCCAGTCCCAACCCACTGGCCACCTTCTAATTAATTTCCTTTCAATGTGCACGAATCCGTGCACTGTGTCACTAGTATTATATATTTGAACATTACCTAGAGAATATATCTTAAAAGCACTCATCACAAGGAAGAAAAAGTAACGATGGGTAATGTTGAATGATCATTTCACAATATATACAAATATTGAATCATTATGTTGTACACCACCTAAAAGTAATACAATGGTGTATGTCAACTAGAGGCCCAGTGCACGAATTCATGCACAGGTGGGGTCCCTCCACCTGTCTGGCAATTGGGGGCAATAGGGGCCAACTTTCCCAGTCCCTGTGGGAGGTTGGCTGGTCAGGGAGGAGCCGAGAAAGGGCTCCAATGTCTGGCCAATATCATCCAGTCCCTGACTGGCCAACACCAGCAGCAAGTTAACCTACCTGTCAGAGCGTCTGCCCCCTGGTGATCAGTGCACCTCATAGCGAGCAGTCAACAATTTGGTCGACCACTTGGTTGGACACTTAGCATATTAGGCTTTTTTATATATAGGTTACATCTCCATAAAAAATAGAAAAAGCATTGCCACATGCTCTGAAACCTATAGAAAACAGACCAAATTATTATCTAATGCATCATTAAGGGGGGAAAGGATGTTGTAAATAGTATACTGAACATGGTTCTGTTTCATAAGCATGTACGGACATTGTAGGGTGTGTGCACATGTCATACTTATGGGGAAAACCCCAGGAAAGGCATATACAAATGTTAAGTTGTTTTTTTCTAACTGTCACAAAGGTCATTTTAACTTTCTTCTTTTTGTTTATCTTTAGTGACCACATAGTATTTTTTTATTGGAAAAATAGTCAAACATTTTAAAAAGACCTGTTACCCAAAGAAAGGCTGCTTAAGCCTTAAGTTTTACAAGATTTACCCAAAAAGAAAGGAAGCAGC